TTGCACTTAATTATAACCAATAAACATCTCTAGAAACGGGGAAAAGAACTACCGTCCATGAAGTTGAATGCTACAGTCTCTTTGATGATAAAGATGATTGTCAGCCAGATAATGAACCCAGACCACATGTTTGCGGTTACATAAATTTATGCAGAATGTGAATTGCCTCAGCTCGTAGAATATTGCACCTTTTCACTGTTTATGATTCCTTGAGTCATCCACACCTGTATTCATTATTTTATGCACATCATTGCCTTTTTTTAACAAGGAGGTGCAAGTTGCTGCAGAGTTGGAATTTAATCAATTCATATGGAGATTGATGGCATCAATCAACCACTTTTACAGGTATGGTTGTATTGCCACATAAATATACAGGGTTAGTGTTTTCAGTAATATGAATTTCCATTGAGCACTGTATATAGCTGCTTTGAAGAAAATTGGCTGATAATTCGTACTTCAAAGTGAAATTCTACAAAGACATCTTATGTATAATGGTTTTGTGAAATATCCCTATGTTCATGTTTTGTTATCATTTCCATCTTTTTAATGTGGCATATGATGCTGAGCTTAAATTACGTAGACAAATGAATACCTTTTTTTACTGGAGAAACAGAGCTAAATCCAATAGCACAGCATGCAAATGTTATTTACATGTGCATCAACGTTATATTGTAAGATAGTGCATTTATAAATGAAAAAAATCTGAAGTGTAATCTGTGTAGGCTGTGCTTAAATTTGTGCAATTGTAAAAAAATGGACAGTATTATTATCTAATAATAAATTGGAATATTATATTTAAAATATTTGTTTTGCAGATTGATTATATTTGAAGTTGATACAACCTAAAAGTACATATTTGAATTTAGGTAATCTTGTTTTACTCGGTCCTACATGATACTGCTGCACACTGCGAAAAAGGCATTCGCCTGCCCTAACTAAGAGAGGGTGCTATTCTTGTGCTTGTTTACCTGACCTTCACTTGAGCAACCTTGAATCCCTCGGCTTAAATTAACCTGGCAGACATTCTTTATACATGTCATATAGTTATTTAAAGATTAATGCACTGACACATTATCAAATTCACTTGATAAATAAGCATTATGTCGCCAATCAGTGTGTGTACTTAAAAGTTTAATTGTGTGCTTTACTTCAAGAAGGGGGGGGGGGCACCCTATCTGAAAGTAGTTGAGGAGGTAGGTGAGCCTTGACATTTTCTCTTTTTGTTACGTAGTTACGTACTTAATAAAAAAAAAGAAGATTCAAAAATATATATTGCACCGAAGAACTTAATACCTTGGCTTTTTTTCGTCCCAGATGTTCCCGTAAAATATGGACCAGGTGCTGAGGTACTGCTTGTTTTGGTGTGCATTAAAATATTTATCGGAATGCTCGCAACATGTACGTTTGTTCTACCATCCACTATTACATTGAATTACCTAGTATTATTTCACGTTGTAAAGGTCAATGGAATGAAACATTTATATGCCGTTGATCACCAAATATAGCACAGATTTCTATAAACGGTTTAATCGCTCGGTTTGAGTTGTATGCACACTGTTGATGGTTTTAGATTGTACTCTGGCTTTCTTGATGCGATCGGTTTCATTACATTGCTGCGTAAAGAAGCAAGATCTTTTTTCTCTTCAGTCAGAAAATTTAGATAAAATTTTAATACCGTTAGAAAAGATCTGTACTCTCAGAAAAGGATGATGTTAAATATATCTGCCAGACATTACTCATGTCGTGTGTTGGAACCCACCAGCAGTAGCAGGTGATTCATGCCATCAGCAAACAGCAGCACTGCGTGCTATGCAATGTTAATGGCTTCAACAAGGGACCCGATAATGAGTAATAATCTGTTGACTAAGGTCATTTTTTTATATTCTTCAAAAATAGTTTTTGTTTTGATAAATGGAATCTCTTTTAATTTGCCTAAGCTCCTCATGGCATGGTCACAAAAGTGTCGAAAGTGTCGTCGTGCTTACAGTTGCTGGCCGTTTGCGAGGTTGCAGCTGGTCAACTGAGGACAGAGCTTGTCATATTACTTAATTTAGTTCGTTGATTAAATTTATATCTTCATGGCTATTATCAACCTCAAACAATCTCCATGCTGTCACCATCTATTGGCTACCGTAGTTTTATATCTTAAATGAACATTTTCCAGAAGTCATGAAAATGGTACTGATGCTGCGTGTTGCGATAAATTCACTTTAAAAGTTTACATAAACAGATTAAGAGATCCAAAGGTGAATTAAAGACAAAAAATGTAGTTCCGATACAACTGATGATATACATATAAACCATTCGCTTTAATTTGCACGTCTACTTGTTCGGCCTAGTCGCACAAGCTCGCAGGTAAGCGAGATCACATACGGTCAACTCACTCATGGTCAACTGAGGACAGAGGCAACCATATTACTCAATCTGTATGACGTAAGACTAGCCTGGATATTTTCACCTCAAATAACCTATGCCCTGTTACTGTACTGTACAAGACGTATAAGATCCCAGATCCTGTGAAATAGATCAAAATAAAATAGAAGAAAAGGCTCTACAGAAGTTTTCATAATGGTAATAAGCTCGCGTGTAGTGGTAAATCCATATGAATTATAAAATTCATGAAGAATTCCAGACATGAGCGAGGGACCATTACAAAAGTACTTAACCACCGTCACAATTGATTATTCATTCATCAGAGAAGTGTTTCATAAACCATAGGCTGTACGGGATTTTCACAACAAAAGGTCATTTATCTCGAGGAATGAAAGCGTTTTTTCATACGGGTTATTGCTCAACCTGTCCCTGAACACGGATTCGATGTATTCTAGACCATTTCTAATTTAATAATATAATTAGTTTTAAACGAATCATGATTCTTTAAACCATAACGAAATATTGACATCAAGTACTTTTGTTGTAGAGGTATAATCTACTTTAAGGTATGGGTTCCGAAAGATAAGTAGCTTTGCAGAAAATTCAGAAATAATAAATATAATTTTGGGACCTTTACATATGCATATAAGTACATCTTTAACGTGTCTACCTGCTCCTCAACGCATAAAGCGTATTCAAGCTCCGGTCATACCCTCTACCAGGGCAGAAGGTTGGAGAAAATGTGCCATGGATTGGCCAGATATATATATATATATATATGTGTGTGTGTGTGTGTGTGAATATCTAGTGAAAAATCAATCTGCGGCCCTGGTAGAGGGAACAATCATACATGCATAATAACTTCTCTTTCAAGTCTTTCAAGCTACCGGTTGTTGCCCAGGTTTTTAATGCATCTCTTCAAAGTGAAGAGAAGCATTACCGCTAAGGTCAACTGCACATATTAGCTACTTCACATTTGCACAATAAGTGCATTGAAAGTTTTTGACTTAGGAGGAGTGTAACCATTTCTTAAACTGGCTATGTTGACACCTACTTACGGGTGTGGCATACAGACATTAACCCCGTCTCTCATCTTTATTCTAAAGCTATCCTGGCTATCCAGGTCTAACCTGATAAAAGACACGTAGGTCTATCTATATCACGTAGGAATATCTATAGTAAAGGTATTAAGACTTGTTTGTCAAGGCGATGGCATCAATTACGACATCAAATACATACGAAGTTGTAGTGACTGTTAATGGACAAAAAGAAAGAAATATGAGACTCGTCCTTGTTGTATGTGTAACTGTCAATTGGATAAATTTGCAAATCAAGTTTAAGATAATTGGCTTGTACAACTTGACTGCAGTTTATGCTTTCATCGATTTATGACGAAAAATATGCAGAATTTTTCCAAGGCTTTCATAACCAACCATATTTATATTGCTTACTCGCGTGTTGTAAGTGAATACAATTGAATGATCTGATTCGTAGAGACTTTGTATAGTTCTTTGATAAAATTCGATATCAAATTATACAACTGTAATTAATGGAATCGACTGTCATTGCCACTGGACAAAAGATATTAATTTTCTTCAATCAAGAGAATTCAGTTTTTTTTCTGTTAGAAAATAACATGCCGGCGAGAATCCTTTCAGTGATTTCTCCGCAAACCACAGAATGCATTGTAACAGTTTTTAGGCATTTTGAGGGCCTTGGAGGTCAAAAGCCATTTTGGTCGGTAGAAGGTTCTCTTCGAATCAAAATACTTTCTTTATATGTTCTGTGAAACCACGTACCTGTAGGTTTCGCAGTAAAAAGATCCACTTTTTTTCAGAAAAAGAAATCCGTTTGATAGCGCTTGTCACAGGAAAGCTCTGACGCAAAATGGAAAGTTTGGATTAGTTTTCACATGACCAGGCGTAATATTTATTTTGTCAATTTACAGTAAACTTAATTCGAAACGGACTTCTGCAACCTAAACATGATGGTAAACGAGGGCTGTCTCAAATACAGACTGCGAAGTCAGGAGATTTCAACTTACGTATTCAGTCGATGCAACAATGAGCAATGCGGTAAATTGCTTGAAATACATTAAGTACTACATCAGATACGAGATAAGCAAAACGACGACTGGTGTCACGTGCTTGCATAATGGCCACGGAACGTTTTAGATATACTACTGCAAATTGCCAACAAATTAAAGTGGAGATGTCACTATTTAACAATCGTTGGGCTCAATGTAACGTAAATAGCACTGAAAAAACTTATCACGCTTATTTTTTACTAATTTGGTAGAAGATTCGAAAAAAATGGCATATTATTTGCGGTCGTTTATCCACAACCCAGCTAGAATCTACAGTCTTCACGTATATATGACTTGATCATCTATTTGTGCAGCAGCATTCAAAAAGGTGAAGCTCATCAGGCTCAGATGACTAATCAGCAATTCATGAAGACAACCATGCGTGTACTGACGTGTACTGTAGCTAAAATATTAAAATAGCATGCAATGATTTTCTCTTCCAAAAAGTGATCCCCAATTCGAAAAACAGAATGCCAAAGCTCTTTTTCAGCAGCTCTCCTCTCTTAACCTTTCACAGCCTCACAGGACAAGATCATTAACATTCTTTACACCACATTTTATTCATCTCAGGTATGAATACATTACAGCAATGATTATGCAAACATGACATCTGTGCAGTCTATAATGACATTTTAACACATGGCAATTTTATAAGAGGGCACCTCCTACCATTCAGAGGGCAGAAAATGTGCCAAAAGACACAAAAGAGGCCCTTTTCCCCCCTCATAATTTCCCACATTTTTTGAGTGATTGCAGTTGGCATTTGGATCTTAAGTCTGTGTTAAATGAGAATGAGCAGGATCTTGCCTTTCTGCATGTCACTGACCACCCGTACATTGTACCATGCAGTAGCCACATGTGTACATTTAAGCTTTTCTTGTTTGCTTGTGTTTGTCATTTAATTGTACATGGAAGTAGCTAGGTAAACCACAGGGCTACTTTACCAAAGCCTCAATGTGCCCAAGGGAGGGGAACACCCATCTGAAAGGTATTAGGGCTGCCAACTTGGGAACACACATCTGAAAGGTATAAGGGCTGCTGAACCTATAAGAATGTCTTTTTAATGTGATCAACACAAAAAAATATGCATGTTATTATATATTTCTGAACTTTGTAAATTTGGCAAGCAGCAAGAGTGTCCAACTCCAAAAGCACTGCCTTTAAAAAGAAAATCTCTCTTCAGTTAGTCTTCAACCAGCTTTAGGACATTCTGGATCATGCTACCAATGCCATCATATATTTCATGGACTGCAGTTTCACACATGTAGGCTGGGGTGGTGACAATCTTGTTTTTTGAATCCACATGTGCCTCTTACAAATAAGTTAAGGAATAAAACTTAAAAACTGATGGTTATAGATCTGACCTGCAAAATCTGGACTGGATTTTATTGGAATAGGTTTGGGAAAAGGTCGCTTATGATACAATGTATCACAATGTGTTAGTTGTGAAATAAACGGAGTACATGCACAACTTCATAGATGTGTTAGGCTCTAAAGACGATCTTATTCATCAATTTATCAGTTCATCAATTATCAAGTTCAACTATCAGGCAAATGAATAAATCTTATTAATCCACCCAGTACATAAAAATAAAACAATACAATCAACATTTTTAAAGGATATTGTAACCTGTTTACAAACATGCTTTCCTCCCATGCTGTTGATTGCTGCAGCTGTTCCAGCATATGGCCACTTCCCGCCTTCCTCTTTATCTGAGCCCACTGTCACTTCACAACCCTTCAAAATCTTGGCAGCCAGCACAGGGGCAATGCAGCATAACCTGAGGAGAAACATCAGGTTTGAAAATTTTCCCTTTCCTAGTCTTTATTACAGAAATTATTCAGCAAGCAGTGAATTCTTAACTATGCAAAGAGCCAATCTAATTTTTTGTGAAGTCCTAAGTTTTTAAGTGATAAATCAGGAATTTTTACACAAACTTACTGACTGATCAACACTAAAAAAACTTACCCTATGGGTTTTTTTGAACTATGAAAATCTTTTAGAATATTTTCTACATCAGCCTGCACTGAACAATCTGCACCATTTACAGCAAAATCAGATCTAAAAAGGCAAGGGTGTATTAATTAAACCTTTTCTAAAAAAAGATGCTTCTTATGGAAATTTAGAACTGAAATGTAAAACTGACAAGATTAACTGTTGCTGTGAACAGCCTTTAATGGAATGTAAACAAAAATTGGAAATTAATTACTACCATTATATACACATTTTTCAAAGTTATAAACAGTAACCATCCTTTTTTTGTTTAAAATGTTAAGGTACATTTTTCAAACACTGCATTTTAACTCTTTTTAGTTATACTCGTTTTAACTAGTTATATATGAATGATTATCTAAAAGTCTTGAAAGGAGAGAAGTGTCAGAAAAATTGTCTTTCAGGTAACTAAACACAATAAATCCATTGGAATAAGTTAGATGTTTAAACTCGTAAGTAAGAATGTTTCCTCTCATCCCTTATGAATACATTTTGTCATTTTGTAATGCACTAGACCAGGTATCAAAATAATAAAAAATATTTTCATTATTGTGTCCTAAAAACTCACAAATTCTTTGCAGCCCCAAATCCTCCAGGGAAAACAACGGCATCAAAATTCTCAGCTTGAAGATCTGATAGTTTTTCTATTTTACCACGAGCAATTCTGGCAGATTCAACCAAAACATTTCTGGAATTATAAAAAGTTACATCTCATAGAAAAAAAACAATTATGTGACAAACTAATTGATTTAAGCACTACCAATCTTTCTAGTAATTAAGCCTGCCAGGAAAACTTATGATGATTTTAAACATACTTTAGTTAACAGCTATAACATTCATAAAACAAATACCATATCTTTCTAGTTTAATCAATATTTTGTTTCAAAATAAACCCTTGAGATAATCTTTCACCTCTTTTGATCCATGGGTTCTCCTTTGGTGTGATCAACAACATGCATCTGTTCCATGTCTGGTGCAAACATAGCAACCTCAGCACCTCCACGGCTCAGATGTACTAAGCACCTAAAGTTAGAATATTTTCAATTACAAAGATTAAACAGAAAAAAAAAACTGTTCAGGCACTGAGTGCAGTTCACACTTACTTATTACTGGGAACAATGCTAAAATCATGTGAAGAGTATTCAGAACATTCAGAATCTTCAGTTTCACTTTGGCAACTACTGTATGTTTAAAATGAACGGCATACACCACTGATTAGACCTCATATATAGCAACAAAATCAATGTATTTTCCTTGTCTCTATAACTCCATTATGAGAATGACTCAAAATCTAGAAACTTACCTGTACAAATAAAAAATTGGGCTTATGAATAGTAATTGTGTAAACTGCTTTGGACACCTTGTACAGTAACTTGATGATTACACCTAAAGGACACTTGTTGGAATTTACGATAAAATAAGTTTTGTTTTACTATATAAACCTCTAACCTTTGATGTGTCCCTGTACCTTTACGTGTTTAGGAATCCGTAACCATCCTAGATGTAACAAAAACCTTACAAGCCTCAAAAGAAGTTCTATCCAGTGACGAACAACGAACAAATCTTGCAACTTACGCTGAGGCCTCATGCACTTCACTTCCATCAAAAACACCACATCCAGACAAAACCTGGAAGTTAAGTTAGCAAATATCATCACAAGTAATCATATTAGCTTCGTGACGGTTAAAAGCAAATTCAAATGACAATCAACACAAAAAATATTGGTACTTCATATAACGTTAATAAATGGCGCACTTTATACATTACTGGGTAATTCTCGTGAAACTGAAGGTCATGTCTCTCAACTTACCACGGCTACTTTCTTATGAGCTACAATAGTTGTACTTATGCCGTGTTTAGACAAAACATGGTGATGAAGTGGTGTCGTGACACTGCGATAAAACCCCCTAAACCCGAGCATTTTGATGCTGTAATGTGTCCCGTCTCGTTGTTTGGGGAATCCCTCTTAACGTTAGTAAAGGATATTTTGATAGGTGGTTATTTTCATCGTCCAATCGAAAATTTTGTTACAAGATACTTGTAACCGAAACTGTACGTCTCCAAATAAATGCCTCTTTTTGAGATGTATTGTTTAGAGCGAGTTGTGTCGAGAACAGATCAAGAACTAATCACCGATATAGAAAAATTCGTTTAAAATGCGTTTTGTAATCAAACAGTTGTTGACAGGCGTACCCCGAGCAGTACTTCAGGAGCAATAATACGAGTGTTTACTTCTTGTCATGGTCCATGCAGCTAATGTAAGGAGAAACATTGCACGTGTGGCTGCCTTGATTCCAATCTAACATTCTCAGTTTAAAAAGTAACACTGTAAAAGTCTTTAATGTTGTGCAAATCTAAATATTAGCTTCATGTACGTGTTTGCTGCGACAAGCAGTTTTATGGTAAAGTAATGCCAAACGTGTAATAACAAGTACATTTTTATAATGACTAACTTATTATTTTTTGAATTAGGTTTTCTCATTAGGTTTTTTCTAGATATAAAATGCTCTCTACATCCTGCATCATCATAAGTATTTTCCTCCCGGTAATGTTTTCGGGAATTGCCTGGCTGTTGATCAGAAAAGAAGCACTCGGTTGGTTACCATGGATACACAGACAAGATTGTTGGTTTGACATTGAAACTGGAGAGCCAGTGTGCAGATGGTTGTGCAGTTATGGCTATTACAGTAGCCCAGGGATGGAGCAGTGTCAGAAGTGGCTGACCTGTGAAGAGATTTTGCAGAAGTTTGATTTCCTAAAACCCATTGGGCATGGAGCTGTTAAAGGGGTTAGATAAAATAACAACTTTATAAAGTTTGTAAAATAATGATATGAAAGGCAAAACATAAGTGTTGTTGGTGTTCAAATCTTTTATAATGGAAACATTAAGACATCTGGTTATTTTCTTAAGTTAAGATTTTATTCTGTAAGATTTTTCAATTTCATTATTTTTGGCAGACATTTTTAGTGACAATGCCAGGTATTCCCCATTGGCTATATCCACATTACAGTGGTATCGCTAATGCACTGATTTTGCTTTGATCATTGCAGGTTTTCTTGGTGATGTACCAGGATCAAAAGTATGCTTTCAACTACCTTGACAGTGGATATGTTGAAGATTTTACACATGGAAAGGAATTAGTCAGAGATCTACAACCAAGTCAGTATGTTGTGCAACTCATAGGAATTTGTGAGAATATTTATGTAACAACATATCACAAATTAGGCACAGCAAAGAATTTTGAAAATATTTTAAAAGAAGAAAACTTTGAGAAGTACAACAATATTGCCACAAGATTTAGACTGTGTATCAGGTATGCTGAGATTACTGCCTTTCTCCATAGCAGCCCTTCGGGAGTGAGAGTTATGTGTGATACAAATGATCTGAACAAAACACTTGATCAATTCCTTCTTACTAATGACCTAAACATTGTTGTCAATGATTTAGATGCTTTGCCCCAGGTGGACAAAGAAAATGGTAAACTGGTGAAATGTGGCCACCGGGAGTTATTTGGGGAATTTGTTGCTCCTGAGCAGTTGTGGCCATTTGAAGATAGAAATTTTACGGATTCTGAGATGCCAGGTTATGATGAAAAAACTGACATCTGGAAAATGCCAGACATGTGTGATTTCTTTCTTGGTACTTCTAAAGAAGCAGAGGCTGTAAAATTCCATTTGTTTAGTATCCATAAAAAATGTAAAAGAGAAGAGCCACAACTTCGACCAAGTGCAGCTGATGTCCTCAGTGAATACAACAGAGTGTGGAAGGAGTTGGAAATTGATGAAAAACAGTTACCGACAATTCATGCATAGGTCACCACAGAGTAATTACTTTGAACTGGTTATTATTGCTTGATATGATAAGAAGGTAGCTATTTTGAGAACTTATATGAAGGCAGAGACTGCAGGTGCCTGTGTTATATCACGAATGGTAATACATTCTTGGTAGTATATATTCAACTTCAAAAATTTCACCGCTGGAAGTGTAATTGTTTTCAGTAGGAAGATGACCTGAAAAATACTTACAAAATTTTACACGTATGTTTTTGTTTATTTCTTATACTTTTTAGTTCATTTTATACAACATATCTGTTTGTACTGTAGACACGTATAAAAAAAAATATTTTTCTACATATTTTGCTAATAAAATATAAGAAAGTTAAAATACTCATCATAACAACATTATGGTAAAAAAGAAAAATTTGTTCACCATCTAAAGGTGGATCTTAAACAGTGGACGGGGTTATCACTAAATAGTATATAATATTCTAATACACCATAGTAGTATAATATAATGGTCAAAAGCATTATTGCTGTGACAGAGACTTGCAATACTGGCTACATTCCAAATAATAATCGCATCTAACCATTAAAAGATTTACATTCATGTGCTTGCATTTTTAATGAAACTACAGCTGTATTTTGTATGTAAAACATTAGCATAAAATGACTAGAGACTAAGCAAGGTGCACTACATCATGTAGGTTTGTTACCACAAATTATACATATTGACTCCATGAAGTAAGGTCACAAATCCATTTATGCACGTCTTATAAAATCTGGGAGGAATGACATCTTTCTACATCAAAAACTGACTGCTGACAACATACTTGTAATTCTTTAAAATTCTACTAATTCTTTGCAGGTTTTTTTTTTTTTTTTTTTTTTGCTAATCCGGGAAGATTTTTGTGCTGAAATGCCTCAATTAGGAAGGTTCACCATGACCTACCCCTGATTTCTGAAAGATAAATATGAATTTATAGTTAAATAACGTATATTTCATGTTACTGAAGTACTGTTGAGAACAGAACTGATTAAATCAGAAATTTAAGAACTCTGAAGAGTGCATTACACTTATTAAATAAAAGATTTACAAAATCCTCTTTTATCCATGTCCAAGTTGTTTACTGCCTGAAGTATACTGCCTGTTGTTGCATAACATTTTAATGTGTAATTTCATAATTTAATCAACTTCTACTCCTTGCTGGACTACAAGATTTCAACTTAAAAACATGCGATAGTCCCATTTGCTTGGAGTCCTCAACAGTTTTCTGGTACTTCCATCATTCTATCTACTTTCCTTTTAAAATACTAAATATTTTAAGACCAGTTTTTCAATTGATGGTTTAAACCAAGTTAAAGACTAAGCATTTCTTTCAAGTTTATTTTGTATACATGTGCAATTTTTGAGCTGTTAGATGTGATTTCGTGAAAAAAGAATTTATTGTAATGCTATATAAAAGTACATGTACAGGGTATCTAAAAAACAAATGGGAAGATTTAAGATGGTAAAAAGCATATACTTGTATATCATAAGTTTCATACCGCTTCATCAAGAGAAGAAAATGTGAACTCTTGCTTTTCCTTTGGAGACCCTGGAGCTTTACTGGTAGCTGCTGATTGTAAATAGGCCTCCAGGTTTCTCAGCACATGCCTTGGATTAGTTTTGGCTATATGTTCCAAATCTACAATAAATCATTGCAGTTAACATGGTAAAAGACATCCACTAGAGCATCATCATGATAAAAAAGGTAATTCACAGCCATTCCTCTAATACTCAAGATATTAATATTCAATTGCTTATGAGTAAGAAATATGTGAGAAATTTTTTATAAGAGAACTGTGTACATTGATTAAATTGTTCATCCAAATGCACAAATACTTCTAAGGTGACGTTATTGCCAAATTTTTAAACTTCCATACTGTACTGCAAGATGCTTTCAAGAAAAATATGTTCTACAAATAGGGTTATTTAAAATAAGTCTCTTATAAGCCACGTTTGACCAATGTTCCATTTCGATCTCACCGTTCAAAACTGGTCCTGAGTTGATGATGGTCATTTGTTGGTGTTTCCACTTTTGGTATAACATTAAGTAAAGCCCAACATACAGATCATTCACCACTGCAACCACCTGTCTGCGTTTGTTACACTCTCTGAGAAAGATGTGAATAAGAACATTAAGAGATATAATTATACCTCAAGTAGAATTCTAGGCCTTTTTACTGCATGTTAATTTCAAACATCATATGTCACATAAGATTTTTACATAAACTTGTACACATCAAAAATATCTTGCTGTGCATTTATTTTTCTTATAACTGGTAAAACATTTTAGTATCTTCAATAATTTGTTTGTTTTACATTTTAGATATTTTTATTGATTCAAAATACACCATCAATTCCTTCATACCTTGGTGAAAAATCACTATATTGTAACAAATAGTATAGAGCACATTCTCGCCCGCACTATTGAGAATAGAGCTCAGTGAAAAAAAAATTGGAATTTCCTCTCACTGCAACATATTTTTCATAGTGAATTCAGGGCTATGCTTTTTATTGCTTTTTATTATGGGCCATGCCACTTCACACTTACTTATTAATGCAGTCTTCTCTAAGTGCCTGGAGAGTTATTCTGGTAAGATTTATACCCATCAAACAAAAGGGGAAATTCTAGAAATTAACGTAGCAACTAATTAATCAAAATACTACTGCCATATACCAACAATGGTCAATTTCATGTAAGAAGATTTAGACCTCAGAGATGATAGTGTCATTAAGTATTGTGCTTTGCAGAGCATATTAAGTAAATGAATTAGATAATTGCTTTTTTGCTGAATTGCTAATTTAAATGCCATGAAGATAAAAATAAGTGTATTCATCTGTTAGGAAGGATGTTTGACTTTGAACAAGGTTTTTAATTTCTAATGGAATTGTTTTCTTTCATCTTTGGAAAATGGCACTAAGCAAGGGACTAATATATCATACTATACCTGACTTTCATGTAATGAAAGTTTATAAATGTCTCTGGCTAGAGATAATAGTTTTGGATCTTTTACAAAATACAATATGTGAAGAAGACCTAGGAAACCAACACTCCTAAGGTCTGTTGCTGGATCAGTGCCTGAAAGTACAAGGTTATCCAAAAATTAATTGTGTGCGTGTGTGCGTGCGTGCGTGTGTGTGTATGAGTGAGTTTAGGCATGCACAAGTCTTGTGAAAACAATTCTTGAATTTTTAAGTCTTTCATTACTTTTGCACTTAGTTAAGCAGAACCAAATGGTAAGGTCATAGAGCTTTATCTCACCTTGAAACCCAATTTGATCCCAGTGGTCACCATATCTTTTACAATCAAATTTTGACCCAGTCATATGCTTAAACATTGTCTGCAGTGTTCTCACATGGACACTTTCATCATTGTTAAACTGGCCTTAACAAAATAATCATGGTATGTATTGCCAAACACACATTTAAATATGCTTCGCACTTAAAATATTTAACATTTTTCTACTGTGATACTATAGACTAAAAGAGAAATTCTTAAGAGCAGAAATACCAAAATACCAGCTTAACTCTGATTTTTACAGTATAGTATAAGCATATCTATTAAGTAAAAATTACTTAGTAAATAACATCAAACACAACAGATATCAACTATTAACTAGACAGCAAAGCTGACAAATATACAGACACCATACAGGCAACAAGGCAGCAAAGCTGACAAATGTTCAGACATTACGCAGGAAAGAATGCACCAAATAATGTAAAACAAAAATACGGTTTGGCAGTTATGGGGCGAACATCATGTGTTGGACAGCAACAGCTACATCACTGACAGACAGACCAATTAAAAATATATACAGATACTTACAGTGTCTGTATAGAAAAACTTAATTTAGATATATATACTGTTTGGCAGTTATGGGGCAAACGTCACCAAAACTGTGAAAAAAAAAAAAAAAAGAATAATAACCGTAAATGTAAACAATCATGTCAATTTTCTAAAGCAAACAGCTTCTTTGCCAAACAAAGCCACTCAGTAAAACAAAAATATGGTGTGGAACTCATGGGGCGAATGTCACAAAAATTGTGCAAAAAAAAAAAAAAAAAACAATTATTGTAAATGTAAATGCAATTTTTGAAAGCAACCTGCTTCTTTACCAAACAAAGAAACTCAGTAAATTTAAAGTTAAACAAAAATGTGGTTTGGCAGCTATGGGGTGAATGTCATGTGTCCGACAGCAACAGCAATGACAAGGACAGACAGACCAATCAAAATATATACAGATACTTACAGTGTCTGTATATAAAAACTTAATATTAAAAAAAGGGCTTACTTGCTGCAATGCAAAATATCATGTCTCTTTCCTGTAAAAGTTCTCTGTGAAGTTTAGGTGGTCCAAACAGAAAATGCTTAAATGCTGCAAACCCCCTTCTTTCTATGCTGGTTTTAATAAGGGGCTTTAGAAATATAAAAACAATGAAGATTCAGAGTACAAAAGAAATGAAAAACTTATATACTTTTTCCCACCATGATAACATCTTAATTTTCAAATTCTTCAGCAATTAAATAAGCCAATGAAAACATAAGTTACAATATGGCAAAGTTTCAAATAATCTTTAATAGAAGCAATCATATTTCCAACTTCAGAGAAAAAAGAAGTATTTATAATTTGTACTGCATCTGTTTTCTTACCCTGACATCAGATAAGTCCTTTGTCTGATAATATTGCAATGCTTCATTGAATGACAACGGCTGGCTTTGTTTAGAAAAATTGGGAGCACCTACAATATTTTTAAAAGCAAGAAATCACATACTCCACAAACGTTTACCTTGGTTGCATTTTCACTACAGTATTAACTATGTTAGTTTTAATGTGAAAAATCTAAAAGTTGACAAGTTTTGTGATTTAGATTATTTCAAGTACCCCAGTATCAAACATACAAAATTATAAGACATTCACAGACTAACCGACAATTTTTGTCCTTGTTACATTTTTTATTTTATAAACTGTGATCGGACAGTAAATTACTATACTACAGTATCAAAATATAGATACTATACCATCAAATTGCAGAACAGTGTACAACATGCAGTTAAAACATTAAGGTACAAAATCATAATTAATGAAAATGCTGTGGGCATTAGTGCACTACTAAGTGTTTTGTACCTCCATAAACTTATAAAAATCAGAAACACTGCATCTTTCAATTCTAGAAAAATATCACTATCAAACCCATGAAACCTCACTAATGATTTGATAATTGCAACTACTATCACAACAATACTGCCAGAAGGGTTCATCAAATTCTTCACCATTTTTTGCTAGCACCTCTATTTTTAAAAGAAACAACCAGTAATAAGCAAAGCAAACTATCACTTAACTGTTCTAGCTGCTGCCAAAAGGTGTTTAAAATTAGGTAAAATCAATGCTTTGTCACTAGGTGAAGATACTGTAGGTGTATAAGGATTGATGCAGAGAGTAAAAACACACAGAGAGGGGAACAAGATTAGGATACGCTATACCTTCAGAACCCATAAGTTGCTGGTCAACCCCTTAAAAGAAGAGACATTAGTAGACTATCATTTTAAAAAAGTTTGCAAAAAGTAATATCTATTAGTAACATTATTAATCAGATTAATCCAGTATACAAATTATGATTCAGAAAAGGCAGGTGCTAATGTAGGAACAATAGCAAAACAGCTGAAGACAGGCATTCATAACACTTTGCACCTAAAATATTAATCAGTAAGACTTACTGAAATAAATTTATCAAAAGTGTGATTTAGATCATTCAGATTAGACAAACTGTAATTATGAATACCTTAATGCAATGAAAGTTTTACTAATTGAAGCCAAAAATTTTCAAAGCTTATTATTTCATTATAACAACACCTTTCTTTGGAAACTACAGGCAAGTTGTATTCAAGTGGAGAATGCTACTGTTTTATGACATGATTCAATATTATAAATATGTAACATCTGTACCACTGGCTCACTGCTTTACTAATAGAACATATCCATATTCTAAGTACTATATGTATAATCCAAATGTATAACAAATAATTGATTATCATAGAATGGTTGGCCCTATTAGGCGAAATGGTTTGATTTTGTTCATAATTAAATGATTTGCTTTCCTTTAAATGGACAATCATAAAAAATTACATGAAGAAAATTTTAAAATTCTTCACATCAATTATGATTGCAGCATACCTGGAGTGACAGTTTCTACCTCGTCCCACTCTGCTATGGCAGCAGCCAGGTCAGAGTTCTCTTCAGATTCACCTGAAATGTCAAACCAATACATTATAAAAGAAAATGTTTTTCAACAAATAAGACTTCAACAGAAATTCAGACATTTTGAAGTATTAAGCAAACAAGACATCAATGTAAATTATAGACATGAAACATGCTAAAAAGGATAGTTAATCAGTATTTAGTTCTGACAGTTAATTTAGTTCATTGATATAAATATAATTCAAATGGTTCATACTTTGACCATCTTCGCAATGAATTTTCTTCCTCATTTCTGTATTAACATCTCCATTTTCATCTACCTGTCCTTCCTAAATAAAGAATGAAAGATACAATTATGACATCAACAAAAATAAGCAGTGATCTATATTTCATCTTCAAATTTAGTAAACATTTGGTTTCTTACAATTTATTGATATTTTTGACTAAACCTTACTTCTTACAGTTGTAATGTATCACAAATATTTGATTTCTTACAATTTATTTATTACTTATTACTTATTACATGTGTTATGTATTACAAACACTTTGTTTGGATAAATGTTTACAAAGCTAAAAATGTTATATCATTACATATGCAGTCATACATACCTGGTATTTATCTGCTGGTTCTCCTGCTCCATTTTTCTTCAATAAAAAGAATTGATTTAATATTTTGATAGTAACATAAACAAATTCTTATTTGACAAAAGCTAGTAAAGGAGGAAAAAAGTGTATTCTTTCTTCAATATTTCACTTGTTTTAAAAAGTCTGAATGAAATATAAACATGCTCAGTTGTAACTCTTCGAAAATTAAGAAGCCATACATGCCATGATCTCATTCTTCAGAATACAATATTTACTTCTGATTCATGTAAAGCAAAAAGACCTCAATAAAATAAGAAACCTCCAGTTTTACAGAAGGTAGTGTTGTCTAACCTTGTTATTAGCTGACTGTCCCCATTTAGGTGCAGGTAATGTTCTTGCTGCAGATGTTTGTTTCATCTTGAATATAAATTGCACTCAAAGAAGTTTCATGTGCAAGCAATGGATACCATATTTATAAATGGAAGCCGAGCTGAAATAAACAAGAATGAGATGTGCACCAGTACATAAATTTAACTCACATTTCTCACTTTAAACAAAAAAAAATCCACTAGAGTACTTAGAACTTTTTTGTGTTTAGTTGCTGTTTTGCTTTGAAAGGATAATATTAAACCGCAACATGTACATCTTTCTTCTTTTAGTTTGGGTAAATTATTCATTTCACATTTCGTTTCTAATAGGTTCTGGATTTTCCGGTAAAAAAAAGTGACGTTTAGTGCCATGATTTTACACGTAACAACAAAAGAACAAACACCATGTAACAGAACATTTACAGCCAGTGACTCGAGAGCCATTATGAGCTTGCAACTCATTTACAATGATTGACACATTTCCAGAGATGCTCGTTTGTTTACCTCGTCCGCCATTGCTGTTTTCCAGAGTGAATGTCCCGCAGCGCACTGCACCAAAATTCTACAAATAATCGGAGAGAAGTACCATTATGAAATTAAGCAAAACAAACACAATCAAATTTCGATGTCTTTAAAAACATTCTGAAAGGACATTTGAATGTATATAAAACACTTTCATATATCAATATAATTATGAAGTTTGTAAATAAGTGCGGGACCACATCACAATGGCGACGTCCATACTTAAAAAAGCTTTCCCAAATTTACGCTATGTTTGGCGCACGTATATTAATGTAAATGCGACGAAAGTGGTAAACATAGATGCTTCTAAAAGCTTGCGATCTATAGGTGAGAATATCACAAACTTAACAGTTAATAAGTATGATTCTTCTATTAAAGTTATGTTCGTTTTCGTAAGGGCACGTCTCCTGGACCTAAACTTGTTTGCCAACTCCGTGATCTTCTTTTTTCTCAGACACTTTAAATAGTCTCGGGCATCCTGTATATGTTTTTGATAATTCGGAAGTTCAATTTGTCTCGGTATCTGGCCTTGCACACTTACCTGCTGTGAAGTGCGTGCAGCATGTTTAGAGTTGTTCCTGTAAATGTAAGGCTGAATGTATAGTTGGTCCAAATAAACTGAGGCCCAAGATTTCGAAGAGAAGACTTGTTTATAAGGGCTCAATGTAAAATTGCTTTGAAAGTGTATGGGAGGGGGGAAAGATGGTTATGTTACATGTGTCCTTCCAAATTGTGTACATTGCAAAGATATGTACGTCTGAGATTTTTTTCTAACAAAATTTAACTCTGTTCAAGATTATTTTCAAGGGAAATCAAAATAATTATTTTAGGTCCAAATCTCAAATTTATGAGATACTGTATGGCAACTTAAAAAATAATTTTCAGTGTGGGAGCAGCTGCTTACACAACCACACACTTGAGAAGCATAACATAGAAAGAATACTATTGCCACCCCCTCATTTTTTTTTTACTACCCCATTAAATTTATTTCTAAATACATTTATATCAGATAAGGATCTTTTAAAATAAAACTGCAAAATGTTCTCAAAATTCGCTGCTTTACATTCTTGTTCATCACCAGATTTTCATATTTTGGCATGACATCTCATCATTTGAAACCCTTCTAGCTGGTCAGCGACATGAGAGGAAGTTCTGTACAATATCAACAGTAACGAGTACAACTAGCTCATGTTGACATTTTGACTAAAGAACTTTAACATTTTATCTGTCAATGTTATAGAGATACTTGACCCTGCATAAAGCATTTTACTAATACCTTCAGTTGTTTTGGATGAGGCAAACAATGGACAACTGGTGCATCCATATGTGTGTACGTGTGTGCGTGCATGCGCAATTATAAACTGCATACATTTGATAGACAAGTGATAACTTAAATTTTCATCACAGCATGGGAAGGTAAAATATTAGCATTAATTGCTCTATTTCAATATTTATTAGGAAGTGCAAATTTTACAACATCAGCTAGGCTGCAAAAAGATTTTATCCATGATGAGGATGAATTTAGTGGGAAACAAGATGAAGCTACAGATGCTGACATTCATGATTTGCAGTCAAAAGATGACGGGGGCTTCTCACGAGAAAAACTGATTCGTGCATTTCAAGCACAAGAGCGGAGGGCAGCTAAAATTTTAAGAGAACAAAAGTCTGATAAGGTAGAATATAGCTTGAGTTATTTTTATAAAACACACCATATCCTTTCAAGGCTGTTGTCTGCTCTGTAACTTGGCACTTACAGCCTCCAAGATACATTTTGAACATCTGTTCCGTGTAGCACAGTCCCTTGTAAGGTTTTAGAGTTTGTTTACAGCTTCTAGGTATTATAGTACTCTGATATTGAAATGAAATGGTAAATAGAAAATAAATGGGCTTCAGGGATTAATATAATGCAATTTTTTAATGACGGTGTGACCACAGACAGTTGGCAAGAATATGCTGGATTATTTGTTAGGGTTTAATGTGGATTTTTTTTTCAAAGCCTTTCAGGCAGATGAGCAATCCATACAAAAAAAAGCGAAGAAAGTGTTACTTATGTGAATATGATGTTAAGCTGGATTACAAGGTATTTTTGTGTGTAATTTTGTAAAATTGTTTTTGGAATGTAAAAAAAAGTTTTGATTATACAATATGTTGTGTTTTATAATTAAATTGCACTAATCTTTTGTTCTTGGTAATTTATGAAGACAAAACTTGGGGATTGCTTCAGATACTTGCACTTCTAGATCTTGTTTCTTGTATTTTTGTTACAGAATACTCAACTGCTTAACCAGTTTATTTCTCCCCATACTGGCAGAATATACAGCAGTAAGATTACTGGTTTATGCATACCAATGCAAAAGAGAATAGTGGTCCAAATAAAAAGAGCAAGACGATTTGGTGAGTGCACTTCTGCAAAGAGATAATAAATTGTAGCATGTGTAAAAACATATCCAAGTGGTTATCTAAATTAAGTAATTCAAAATTCTTTTTCAAAATTGGTTCTCATGACACAAGGCTAAATTATTAGTAAATAAAAGTCGTCTTATTTTAGGTTTCATGCCCACACTACACAGAGAAGTGACATATATTGGTGATGCAGTACCATACAAGGATCCATATTTTAAACCCTCTAGCGAAAGCTCAAATTTCACTAAGGNACTGGAG